TCTTCAGCACACTGAAAAATGCTGTTTACAAAAATAGATAAAATCCATAAAATTGGAAGTTGATGCTAATCTCTAAGTACAAGGTTATTCTTTCTTGAACATATAATCTGATGAAAAATTTTGCTGCAACAATGTCTGCACTACCTTATGGATAGAATTTTGGGAAAAGAAATTGCTGTTTAAATAAAATATAACACCAGACTTATAGGAGTAAAGTGACAATACAGGAAGTCATTTAAAAATTCTCGAAGGGTATAATTCTTAAAATTTTAGCTAACTTTGCTTCTCTCACTCAAACAGGTTATAATGTTCAAGGCTAACGTGTGATCTATTGCTGAGTTAGTAATGACAGTCAAGTTTGCCAACACAATCACTGCACTACATTATCTAAGCCATTGCTCTGTAAAGTGTTCTGGGATACCTTGAGCATGAAGGGCCATATATCAAGTATATTATGTTTTATTCTATATGGTACCTGAGTTTTGGCAATGCATATTCAACAAGCTGAATAAAAAGACTTCTAGATGTACTTTATTATTAGCATTTGTAAGCATTCACCATAAGGAAGTATAGTCTCAACTTTAAAGTTGAGTGAAATGAAATTTTGAGAGAGGAAGGGAGAGAATCGTTTTTATTCTGAAGGTAGAAACCCCAACTAAATCTGCATTCTGCTAGCATTGCTGACCTCAGACTTTGCCTACCTCTCACCTGTCACTCAGTTTCCTTCCCATGCAAGAGTGATGCAGGAGACGAGGGAGCACATCAGAACAATTTATCATTGATTTGTCCTTATATCCTAACACGGTGCTGGAATGAATGAATGAATGAATGAATTTTGCTGAATTACATCCTTACTAGATTTTTTTGAAGTTGGCATGTTAAATTTTGGTAGATGGCGTCACATATCAGAAATGGTCTCAGACCTTATGACCACAGTTTTGTTAGGTGAAAGCCTCCTCAGAGGATGGACATGTAACTGCAAGATGTCATAGGATGGGATTGTCTTTCAAGAAAAAACACAAACATACTAAATTATATCCATAATCTGCAGAGATGCAGATTTAAAAAAAAAAGTCATCCTAATACACAGAGTAAATGTGTAGCAGGATGTATACACACACACTTGCATGCATAGAAACATAAAAACTTGCTATAAAATAAGTTACTGACTATATATCAAAAATTAAGAATTATTTCTTCCATCCTATCTTTGGATGTTGACACATCGTTTCTTTTATGAGTGCTGCATGTGGAAAAGAGGGTTTCCCATTTATTTACATAAGTCAAAGATATTTCCCTCATATTTGCAATGTATTAGGCCTGTGAATACACACGTTCATCCTTACTAATTTGATGCTCAACAGCAAAAAACTTATAATTTAAAGAATTAAATGCTGAGTCTCCCTGGTGGTGCAGGTGGTTGAGCGCTGCACTGTGAGGCTGACCACAGCCTCTGCAGCGCTGGTTAGATCCCTGCCGGCCAGCGAGGGTCCTATATGGCGCAGACCTCTCCTGTCTCCCCACTACTCCCCTCAGCAGTGTATTTCCTCAGTCTGCCTGTTCTGTTCCCTACTCTGTCTCTGGTGATCCTCTCATCCTCCCACACATCTGGCCTGTAGCCCAGTCCTTGTATAAATAAATAAATCTTAGGAAAAAAAAAAGAATTAAATGCTTTTTTACAGGGTTATGTGAATTATTGTAAATAATAGCTTAGTTATCTGGAATGATAAAATGTGGTTTCAGAATAGAAAAGCCTTTGTATATCCCAAACCAATTAGAAAAAAAAATACTAACACACTCAAAAGTCCCTACTAAACTGCCACTCCTCCTGACCACTTTTCGTTCTTGATCAGTGCTGATGATTTACTTAGAAAAACAGGCAATATGAAACTTTGCCAATCCCTGCTGAAGCTTACTATCTAATTGTGAAAATGAGTTGTCTTATGTTGCCTAAATTAGCACTACGCTGAAAATTTCAAAGAATGATCTTTTCTATAACAGGTGCATGTCTGTCAGTTAAAAAATGAAACTTGACTCTACTCAAATTATGCAGAAAAGTATTCCAGAGAACTTAAATGTGAACTGTAAAAAATTAAAGTTTTTCACGTTGAAGAATAAGAGAAAAATTATTTTTTTAAAGATTTATTTATGCATACAATTACTGGGATACAGGCCAGAGGTGTGGGAGGTGAGAAGATTCCCCGGAGACAAAGTGGGGGACAAAATAGGTATACTGACTGAAACACACTGCTGAGGGGAGCAGTGGGTGAGTCAGGATAGGTCTGCTGCGCCAGGTTGGTAGCTCCCTGGCTGGGGATCGAAATTGTGCTGAGTGGCTGTGGTTAGCTGCATAGATTTTGTCTTAACCCCTTGTGCCACCAGGGAGGCCTGAGAAAAATTCTTTAAGACCTTGGGATATGTAAAAAAAATTTAAGCAATGGGCAGAGTGCTTATTCTAAGGGAAAAAAAAAAAGATAAATCAGACTCCATTAAAAGACATCACTAAGAGAGTGAAAAGGCACAGTGTACTCTGGGAAAAGATATGTGTAATGTACCTATCTGAAAAGGCCTCATGCAGAATATAGAAAGAATCCCTGTGAAGCAATGAAAGTCTTTACATCAACCAATTGAAAAGTGGGTTCCTGACATCAGAACTCTAAGGCCAATACCCTGTTGCCTTCCTTTTCCTGTCCTCTCCACCCCCCCACTCTGGTACCCAAGAATCACTTGCGCTGTTCTTTACCTGATTGTCTGCTTTTGTTATTTATGTTTCTTCAATGAGAGAAATCATCCAGTAACTGGCTTTCACTTTCTGGTTTATATCACTTAGCATAATCACTTCAGGGTGCATCAGTTTTGTCCCAAAAAGGCACTATTTTTTTTTTTTAATAGCTGAGTAGTGTTCCACTGAGTATACATTCCACAAATTCTTTATCCAGTCCTTTCTATGGGCATTTCAGTTGGTTCCTTGACTTGGCTATTGTGGATAACACTGCTCTGAACAGAAGAGTGTTAGCATCATTTTGTGTTAGGGTTTTCATATTCTTTGGGTAAATACCTAGCAGAGCTGTTACTTGTATCCTATGATTTTCCATTGGAATTAAATGAGTGAATCTCAGAAATACAAAGTTGAACAAAATAACAAGACACAAGATAGTGCATGCTGCATGACTCCTTTCATGTAAAGGTTGGAAACAGCCAAAGTTAATCTATAAGCTGTCAGGAGAGTAGTGTCCTTTGGTGAAAAGTAATGAATAGTAAGGGGTGAAGAGTCAGAGGTAGATACATGTGTGTTTTCGTTGCAAGAATTAATCTACTGGGACACTTATGATTTGAGGACCTTTATGTGAACATTATACTTTATTCAAATACAAGGAAGTGAGAAATCCAGTGTGTGTTACTAGAAATTCTCCAGGACAGGAGTGCATACCTGGTACTTAAACCCAACATGTACCACATGTCTGCTTATGTACTTTATATTTGTAGTTATTGTAAATAATAATTCATTTAACTTTTCTAATGTGTAGTTATTACTTGTTCTTCCCATTTTATGTACATTGGACATGAAGGAATGGGAGGTGACTAATTTGGCCAAGGCCTAAAACCTGCTAAGAGGTAGTAGAGTAGACCATCAAACTGTAGATACAATGGCTCCACGTCCTAGGCTGTTGCTTTTATAAATGTAAAATGATTTTGAAGATTGGTGTATTCTTGGCCCAGGGCTGCTGTGACAAATGACCACAAACTGGGTGGCTTTAACACAATAGACATTTTTTCTAGCTGTGGAACATAAGTCCAAAATTGAGACATTGGTGAGGTTGGTTCCTTCTAGATGTTCTGGGAAATCTTCAGTCCCCTGTTCTAGCTTCTGGTATCTGCAGGCATCTTTGGTGCCCCTAGTCTGATAGGTACATCCATCCCATCTCTGCCTCCACCTTCACCTCACCTTCGCTTCTGTCTCTCTCTCATCTCCCTTTGCTCCTCTACTCTAAGCACATCTGTCACTAGACTGAGGGCATACCCTAAAACCAGAATGATCTCATCTCAGGACCCAAAATTACATCTGCAAAGACTCTGTCTCCAGTGACCATTGCAATATGAAATGCTGGAGTTGAGAAGTTGGACATAACTTTTTTTTTTTAACTATTCAACCAACCACAGACAGGAAAGTGCTATCTAGACATACAGAATGGTGATGTTCAAGAGAGAATGTTACCATAAAAGTGAAGGAGTATTTGCCCAGAAAAGGTGTTGATGAATACAGGATAAAAATAGCATGGGGGACAAGTAACACCCTTAATTCTATAAATGTAACTGTGCTATAAGGGATGAAAGAATGTAGCTATGATTAATCTTGATTGCTTTATATATATTATAAAATATATATCATAAAATATATTTTGTTTATATTATATACATTATATATAATTTATAGTTTCCAATCTATGAATTTTATTTATATACTGTATGTTCTATATAATGTATATATATAAAATATTGCTTATATTATAAAATATATGATATATATAAGGATTTTAGAGCCAAATAAGCAATCTCTACCTGAGTAATGATTTATAATTAAAAGCAGGATACATCAAATGCTTACTTGTGGAGGGGGGTGCTAGGGAAGTTCTAAACTAAAAATCAAGGAAATTAGCTAAAAGTAGGACTGTGTGAAAAAAATATGTCATAGGCAGCAAGATGGTGCTAACTACAATGTCAGGGTATTTTGTAAATTTCCTTTTCTTCATACTTTGCGCACACATACCAGTATCCAAGAATAAAGAACAAGCAACTTATAGTCTGTTATTGGCATGTGTGATGTCAGGCTTGTCAGTCTGAGTTAAACTGGTGATACTTTGGGGTTGCCCACAAAACTATTTGGGAATTAATGTGCTGGAGAATGAGGCCAGTGTACTGAATAGTTAACAGTGAATTTGATTTTTCAAAGCCAAGCAATCCCTCTATTGTAAATTTTTTTAAATCTATGCCCCCTCAAATATTGCATAAATACCCATAGGCTTTCACTCATTTATTCAACAGCATTAAGTGAGTATTGTTAAGTATAGAAGGATCCGTGTTATAAAGTTGATAAAAAGATCATTGGCACTGTGATATAGGTGCATTTAATCCACACAACAAACCTATCAACTGGATAGTTTGTCTTCACATTGCAGACAGGAAATATACCACTAGCTTAGGTGCTAGTTCACAGGCATGTCAGTAGACAAAGGTTGGATTTCTGGGTTCATAGTTTGACTCCGGATCTGTGGACAAAGAGAAAAAAGAGATAATCATGAGCAAAACGAAATCAAATGTTCAAGTTGTACATTTGTTTCCTCCTAGGTTCCAATCCTCACTTGACTCTTTCACAAAAATGGAGTTGGACTCTTAAAATGTTTTTCTATTTCAGCTGAAACTGCTTCCTTTTGTTAGTGCTGGGCAGGGAATTAACACAGCTGGAGGGAGAGATTTTTCTGGTGTGCTTTCCTTTGCTGCTGCTTGCTCATATCGGGGACTGTCAGCAAAGCTTTTGAGGGAAGTATAGTGGCAGCCAGCCCTGGGGGCCCCCCACTCTGTCAGTAGTATAGCAGGCATATTCTGAGGTGCACAGGTACCCAGTTGTTGGCATTGTAGCCTCAGGCTGCCAGTAATCAGGATGGCTGACTTCCTACTTGCCAACACCAATTGTGGTTCTTTCCACCTGCACCCAGAAATACGCTTGACTGGTTTTCTGGCTGACACCCTTAGCTCACCTGCACCCCAGAGGGGAGTGTCAGTGCACCCAGTGACTGAACCAGCTCTTGGTAAGGCAGTATGGAAAATGGCATCAAGCACTAAGCTTCAGCCACATTTTGTGCAACTAGGTCTGAATCCCAGGTGTGTGGAGTGTACCTCTCCAAGCTGGTTCTTCCTGGGTATATTCTCCCTCAGCCCCAAAGTATTGAATAGTAGTCTTTTGAATTCTGGAATTGTAAGCCCTTCTTACAATTAATAATTGTATACTAAATACTCCCTGTTTAAATCACTGTGTTGTTTCAATAATCTGATTGGACCCAAAGTGACAAGAGGAAAGAGTAGTGATGATTTTGACTCAGTAGAAGAGGAGACATTTTTATGAATCTCTTATAGCTATCCAACCGTGATAGCTTGTTGGGTGGACTGAATTGTTTTTCAGTTTTCAGATCATTGCCAGACTTTTTTTTATTTTTTTAACCAATTGACTTATCTCTGAAGCAACAGAAGAGAGTAGGAGAGTAGGCTTGGTACTGTTTAAAGACATGTTAAAAAGTAGTCTCACCCAGCAGGGAATATACTGAAATAGAAATGAGCCATGCTGGCTACACAGGGTTTCTTTTTTCTCACTATAATGCATGCCATCAGTAAAAATGATGCACTGTGGCAGGGAATTTCAACCAAAGGTGATAAGTGGTAGCAGAGTAGGGAGATCACAGAGGTATATGAGGTGAGCCCCCTCAAAGTTCTCGATCCTCTCTCCTGGAGAATCACTGGGGTGTCTGGTTTGTGGTAAGTAAAATTTTAAAAGAAAACACAAAGTAATTTTATAGAATGTCATTAAAACACTGACCATCAACTTCAACACATAATATATTCCTATCTTTTACATTCTCATCCGGGAATTGAAAATATAAAGCAGACTGATATTTTACTGGTAGACTTTACTCCACGTTTCTTCCTTTTCAACATCATTCTCCCCACAAATAAGTTAGTCCCCTAAATGTGTCTTATCTTAATGTTATTGTTTTTTGTATACATTGTATTTTATATGTGGTTCCTAATGCACTGTTGATACCCATTTCTGTATAAGTATCGCACGCTAAGCGATTGCACCACTGAGGTTCTGATATCTATTTCTAAGTTATGGGCTTAGTGAAAACAAATTTGAAAGTATCAGGTATCTCATTTCAGCATTTTCTTCTCTGACCTGTTATTGTTGTCATTACATCTGATAACTCAATATTCTGAAAGAAAATACTAAGTAATTTGAATCCTTAGGTTAGAGTTTAGAGCTATACTACCAATTTAGAAACGAGGCCTTCAAAAATAACCATCAGGGAATCAAATCAGATTCACTATGTCCATGTCAGGGATAAGTACATAGCTGTTGAGTTGTTAAGTTCATAACCATTGTTACACTGAAACCAGCTGACTTTGAGAAGTTTTCTTGGAAGGAAACCTGTGGTCTTTTACAAACTGCCGACTGCAGTAATGTCAGATACAAGCCAACTGGTAAAAGTCTGGCAGTGATTCCCAAATGGAAAAAAATTATTTGGTATGCCAACGGTGTATGGATTGGTATTAATATTTTGTGTGAAGTATGAAGCAAAATATGAATCAAAACAGTTTTTTTCCCTCATGATCTCTGTGCTATATTTCTCCACATTTTGAAGATCACGGACCTACAAGAATATAGCTTAATTCTGCTTTTAGAGTATTGCTAGACTACTCTATATTCCCTATACACATAAACATCTGATGTGAAGTTTTTAGTTCCAATAACTACTTCAGGACATCACCCAGATGAGGAATGATTTTAGCCAAGAATAAACACTGTGGGAGAACTGCATTGTATTACCTCAGAGTTAAATCAGAGATTCATCTCAGCAGTGGTTCAGATTAACAAATGTCATGTATTTAAATATTTGCATTGACTTTATGGTTAAGCCACAGGAAAATACATGAAGGTGTATGTGTATAGAACTGAAATGTTACACATATACAAATGCAGTTATACCCACATATGTGTGTATGCATCAGTTGTAATTAACAATATGACTTTGGTGCCTTCCCATTGGGCCCTGTTTTAGGATCAGTCAGATACCGAAGCAGGAAAAGTCAGACATCGATCTTGTGCTGCATTAATTGTAAGTTGAGCGGATGGCTGCACATCTTCACTATCCCTTTTTTAATGTTGTCATGGGTGTCATCTCTGTTTCCAGCTTTTTGGTTTTACTGCAGTTTTATTTTCTGTAATTTTCTTGAAATGCGAAAGATATAGTTCTGCTGTGATAAATGAGATGGGGAACCCATAGCTCAGTCACTAGTTTGTTCATAGATTGACCATTGAATGTAAAGTATGTGACGCTAAGAACAATTTTGATGAGATCCACTGTTGAATGTGCAATGATTCATTCCTCTTTGTGAAGCTGCTACCTTTATGTCTTAGTTCTGCATCATTTTTCATGTCTCTCTTTTAATAAGTATCTGGAAGGACAAAAACCTGCTCCATATCTAATCTAGACTAAAATATGTAACATCTACTAAACATAGCAACAATACATAATTACATAATTTGATTTTAACTTTTCTATAAAAATTTATGTGAATTTTTTTGTAGAGAAAATAACTTTGTATTTAACATCTGTTATCCTTTGCTGATTTTGTATCCCTATACTTACTTTATCTTTGACAAACTATGAAATACAAAGTTCTGATATTATCTAATTACTGTGATTCAGTACAAAATGCACTATAAATATTACAAGTTTATTTGAATAATTAACTCCCTTCCAAAGATCGAAATCAGTGTTTCTATTCTCTAAGCTTCAACAAATTTGACCTACTAGTAGAGTCATCAATGCAAAGTTCCACCGTCAGAAAAAAAACTGCCTTCCTGAATTAGATCCTAAAAAGGAAAAGTATATAAATATTCATTTTAGACATACACATTATTTATTGATACAGCTGCTAGAGATTCAAAAATGCCTGTAGAGAGTCAAGTGTAAAAGAAACTCAGTCAAGTAAAAGAAACTCAGTAATCAGGTAAAGGAAACTATGGGAAGTTAACACCGAGGGCAAGTTGTCAGGGAATTCAGGGACTCTTGCCCAGCAGATGGGCAAAGCATAAACTGGTTATGTATCAATAGATATAAGGAACAGAGATCATAAATTGGAAAGGCTACATACTTGGTATGTTGGATTTTTTTTTTTTTTTTTTTTTTATAAATTTTATTGTTATATTCCCCATACAATTGCAGCCCCCCATTCTGACCCCAATCCCTCCCCTCCCGCCCCCACCCCCCTAAAAGTGTCTCTGGTTCATAGTTTTTTGTTGATTTTGATTTTCACTTTCTTATAGTTTTTCATTTTCCTGGTCCATTATTTAAGTTTTCTAGATTCCTGCTATGAGTGAGACCATCCGGTATTTTTCTTTTTCTTTTTGGCTTATTTCGCTGAGCATGATCCCTTCCAGCGTCATCCATGTTGCAGCAAATTGCATGTGTTTATCTTTTTTGAATGCTGAGTAATATTCCATGGTATATATGTACCACATCTTCTTGATCCAGTCATCTATTTTTGGGCATTTGGGTTGTTTCCAAAGCTTAGCTATTGTAAACAGTGCTGCTATAAACATAGGGGTGCAGGTGTTCTTTGGAATTGATGTTTCTGTGTCCTTTGGGTAAATACCTAGGAGTGGAATTGCTGGATCATATGGAAGCTCTATGTTTAGTAGGTCCAGAAATCTCCACACAGCTTTCCACAGTGGTTGGACCAGTTTGCACTCCCACCAACAGTGCAGAAGAGTTCCTTTTTCTCCACACCCTCGCCAACATTTGTTGTTGCTAGTTTTTTTAATATGTGCCATTCTCACTGGCGTAAGATGGTATCTCATGGTAGTTTTGATTTGCATTTCCCTGATGACAAGTGATGTTGAACATTTTTTCATATGCCTGTTGGCCATTTGCATTTCCTCTTCAGAGAAGTTTCTTTTAAGCTCTTCTGCCCATTTTTTGACTGGATTATTTTCTTTGTTGTTGTTGAGTCTCATCAGCTCTTTGCAGATTTTTGTGATCAGTCCTTTATCATTAGTGTTGGGTGCAAAAATGTTCTCCCAGTTGGTGGGGTTTCTCTTTGTTTTTGTTATTGTCTCTTTTGCTGTGCAAAAACTCTTTAATTTGATATAGTCCCAGCTGTTTATCTTTGCCTTCACTATCACTGCTTTGGGTGATGTGTCTGTAAAGATGTCTTTGATGTGCAAATCACGTAGTGTTTCGCCTATATTTCCTTCTATATATTTTATGGTTTCAGGTCTTATGTCTAGTTCTTTAATCCATTTTGAGTTGATTTTTGTGTATGGTGTGAGGTGGTGGTCAAGCTTCATTCTTTTGCATGTAGCGACCCAGTTTTCCCAGCACCATTTATTGAACAAACTTTCTTTGCTCCAATGCATAGTCTTTGCTCCTTTGTCAAAGATTAGTTGACCATAAATCTGTGGGTTTATTTCTGGATTTTCTATTCGATTCCA